AAAAACTAATATAGGCATCCAGGAAGAAAGTGAATCATGGGATCACAGAATGGTTTGAATTGGAAGGGACTTTAAAGCTCATCTCATTCCACCCCCTGCCATGGGCAGAGACATCTTCCACTAAGTGGTTCCTGTTCTCCCTCAGGTTCTCCCATTTTGCTCAGGGAGGCACTGAGATGCTGAGATACCCAGAGCCATGCATGGAGCTGACCCCAGTCTACCCTACTCATGCCAGTCCACCAAACCCTCCCCTGCCAAGGGCTCCAGCAGTATAAGGCACCCCACAGCTGGGACCTCCAGCAGTGCCAAGGGACTTGCACACGTAGCAAGAGCAATATAGTGAAGATTGTCAATATTTGCCCTCCAAAGGAGGGGCCTCGCCAAAGGTACACAGTGACTATAAAAGGTGTGACCAGCAGCACGTCAGGTTCACCAAACCCTGGAGCTGCCACTACCAGATATGAAGCTCTTCTCCCTTTTCCTCTTCTGTGAGTAACCCCCTGCCAGCTCCCATCCTCCAGGAAAGTCTGGTGCTCACGGGTTCTGTCCATGGAGATGGGAAGGGTGAAAATGCTCATTTTTGCTGTGGAAGGGTAGGATGGGAGGTTGCTTTTTCCAGTGCTCCTAAACAACTTCTCCAGTTGTAGGACTGGCCCTCGCCAGCTGCAACGTGCTCCAGTTTGGAGCGATGATTAAGCACAAGACTGGGAAATCTCTGCTGTCTTACAATGGTTACGGCTGTTATTGCGGCTTGAGGGGATCCAAAAAGCCCCTGGATGCCACCGACAGGTAAGCTGGGACCTGGTGAAGGCAGAGCAGGTGTCCCAGCCCTCCCCACCTCCGTGGGTACAGCGAGGGGAATCTTGCCCTGCTTCTGGGAGCAGAGAGCAATGAGAAAATTGTTGCTCGTCTTTAAAACCTCTCTAAAAGCATTTTAGCAGCAGTAGCCAATGGGAACGATGCGTGTCGTTGAAGTTCAACCAATATAGGGTTGTCCCAACTGTCCCCCATCCTGACTTGACCACGGCTTCTGTGCTCTCAGGTGCTGCCATGCCCACAATTGCTGCTATAAGAAGTTAGCTTCCTCACACTGCAGTCCCAAAGTGGTCACCTACAAATACTTCCTCCGGGGAAGCCGAATAACCTGCGGTAAGAGCCGGTGCAGGGGCAAAGCTCCAAGTGGGAAGGCACATACCATCCATGCTTGTATTCCAAGGTGTCTTTTAGACCATCCTGGCCTGGCAACCACTCAGAGCAAAGGAGGTGAAAATACAGGAAAAGTGCCAGGAACAGGGCAAATAAATATTTGCTGGATTATGGTGAAGTTTAGAGCTTGGACACCTCCCTAAGGAGGGGCCTTGTCCTTCCCTAGAGGCCAAATACTGAGGGTCTGAGGTGACCTTCCCATCCTGGACAGGGACCTGGCACAGCCACCTCGATTTCCCCAAAGCCAACACATTATTTCACAGACCAAAACAAAGCATATCCCTATGATCCAAGCAACTATCCGCACACACCCCAGGGATAAAGTGACTTAAAGGGTCTCTCCAGGGCTAGGTAGCTCCACACACCAGAGGTGAGAGTACCTGAGACACCCCAAATTTAACCCAGGGGGCTGCGTATGCAGTAGGGATGGTCCAAAAAACACCCTGTGACTCTCCCACCCTTTGCCTGCCTCCATGCCCCCCAAATTTTCTTCCAGGAACCGGGAACCAGTGCCAAACAGTGACCTGTGCATGCGACAAGAAGGCAGTTGAGTGTTTCCAGAGGGCAGCTGGGACCTACCACAATTCTTACAAGAATTATCCTAACTTCAAGTGCAAGGGCCGAGCACCCTCCTGCTAAACGCACCAGGGTCAAAACCCGACAGAGTCCATGGAAATGGTGGGGGTTCTGCGTTCCCTGCAGCCAGGCAGGACACGGCACAGCCCTGCGGCACCAAAAAGGTGTCCAGCACCTTTCCCTGGAGTCAGTGCACCCAGAAAACCTGCTCCCCATGATTAAACAACTCATAAAAATGGAAACCCTGCAAATAAAGATACATTTTCAAAGGAAATTTGTAAAGCATCTCCAGGGTTGAGTTTTGGGAATCAATGATGGAAGGCTAGGAAGCAGCATGGAGCCTCAGAACTGTTTTTCTGAAGTCAATATTTACGCCTGCACAACGTTTTGCATCTTTTTCTTTAAAAATTGACCAGAAGTGACATTTTAGCAGCCAACTAGTAAATCTTAAGAGCTACAGAGAAAAAAAAAAAAAGACCACAGAAAGAGTGAGTGGCTGCTGCACCCTAAACCAGGCTCCAACCCCAGCTTCCCTCTGAGACCTTGGCCTCAATCCAGCCCCATCCTGTTCCTAACGACCATTTAAGCAATTAACATCACTGCAGGAATGGGGGAGTTCAGTGGTGGGGCCTCAGGGGTTTAGTGTGACCTTTTCTTGCACCCCATCTCCAGCAAGTCCAGACAGGTCTCCTCAGGTTGCCACTCCCTGCAGCTACCTCATCCCTCACCAGAGCTGCACATGATCCCAAATAAGCCCTAATTATCTCTAACAAGCCAGGGCTGGCTGTCCCACAGCCCCGAGCCTTGATGGAGGTACCTCTAGCTTTAAGGCTGCCTCTGGAGATGTGTTCTGCTTAAAATAACGGAGTTTTAAGGGTAATTTCTTTGAGTTTCACCTCAGCGCCAGGAGGCTCCTGCCTGACTCCAGCGTTTCATCACAAGCAACACCCCCACCCCACCCTCACATTCCCACAGTACATGTGGTATCTTTATAACTCCAAACCACTCATTTCTACTCATTTCCTATAGCCACTAAAGGATTTTGAGAGAAGAGCCGGGACAGAGCCAATGCTGCCCTCTAAGGCTGGTTCCTGCAACCAGGCAGCACCAAGGAAAGTCCCCACAGCTCAACACCAGCACAAATCATCTCTCTTGTATCCAACACTGGAGTATGGAATGCTTTTCATGCACAGTTTCCCTCCTGTTCTGCAGTTCCTGAAGCTGTGCAGATGTGGATACCACGAATGTCATGGCAAAGCTATGAGATAACCAACAGGAAGCTCCCAAGAAGGAAAAAAGGATGGGAGACATGGAGCAGCACAGGCAGAAAACCCTCCCATACATAGAAACACTTATGGAGGTCATCCAAAACCTGGCTAAATGCTTAAAACTTCCAGTTCAACTGAACTCCTGATCTGCAGGATTTGGGAAAAATAAGCCAAGGGAAGATTATGTAGGTAGATAGGATGCAGGGAAAGTGGCTGTGCTACATCATCCTGCTGTGTAGTCGCCCTTGAGAGCCTGATGGTGACCCCCCACTGCTGATCCAGCAGCAGCCAAAATACCCTCAGAGATGTCAGCCAGCAGCTAATAACAAAGAGTCATCCTCCTCAGATCTCAAGGGAATATCCAGTGCTTACTGTCCATTCTTGGACCATGCATTACAAAGCTCCACCAACAAGTAAACACGAGCTATGAATCATGATGTGCCTCTGCTCTTGTTTCTTGCCTCCCCTTCCTCCTGCAAGGAAAAGCCATGACCTGTTTACAAGGCAAATTCTCTACATAAAAGTGAGTTCCATGAGGAATGTTGCATAAAGATTCCCTAGAAAAAAAATAACAGATTGGGAAGGCGGAAACTTCAACAGGAAAATTTAAAACAGATAAAATAAGTTTTAACATCTTTTGATACACAATGGTTGTGCAGGCACAAAGCTATCCTGGCAGAAACAGGGAAACTGGCAGAAAAGGGAATTTGACTGCTCTATCATGATTTAAGAGCCCAGCACACTAAGAGTTTATTTTAATCATATTACACTTGGAAATGAAAGCATTTTCAGCTCCAGATTTGGTTCCAGGTATTGGTGGCCATGAGTTGCTCACCAGCCTCTCTCTCTGCTTTTTGTGCTGCTGGTGCAGAACTGCCCTTTCATCCTGGACACAATGGGGTGAGGTTTGAGTTCCCTCCACACCCACAGAAGCTCAGCCTTCAGGACAACTCCCTTCACAGCTCTCAGGCTCCAAGATCCTTTTATCAGCTCTAGCTCAGGAGGACAAAAAAGCAATTCATTAAGATCAAACCTCTTATTCCAAGTGTACAACTGCAAATTCTTTCTTATTTTTTCAAACCTGCAGAACCCATCTGCATTTCAAACCAAAATACAGCTGGGCAGGACACAGGTCATACACGTACCTGAACTGCCTTGCTACACCCACTGTCACAACTGATCACACACTGAAGTGATTTGCACTTCCTCCCCACTAAGCTGTGAGTTGCCTCTCTTTCCACTACTGTAAAACTTACTGTCTTGGAGAAAAGGAATTCCTAAACCAGGAATTCTTACAGGAGAGCCTTCTTTTTATTCTTCAACTAACAGCAGCAGAGCACACGAAGTACCAGCTCTTGGCAGTTCAGTAAAAAAGGGCATTTATATTTTCATGCTGATTTATAAACTTCAAAGCACACATAGATTTTTTTTCAAAAGCAACGTTCCTTACTTTCAAAAAATCCCCTTCACCTCTGCCCTGGCTGATGAGGTGTCTCCTGCTGTTGCGTAAGTGCATGTGTGCTTTCTTCAAGCTTAGTGCTTGTCACAAATCCAAAAACCTGAGTAACGCTGAAACACTGGGAGCCATAAATCCAGAGCTGAATCCCACAGTCCTTTCACCTTGGTCCAAATCCTCAGTCCTACAGTGGAAATTATCACTGGAGTCAAGCTGTACATCCTACTTGGTGACCTCACCAAAATGGAATTTAAGATGGAAAAATTCTACCCTGGAAAAAGGTTGATTTATGAAGTGAAACAGGCAGGTTTCCCAGGGAGTACTGGTGCTTGGAAGCTTGTTCCCAGGACTCTTGTTCCTTTAGCTACACTAATGTAATTTGGAGACTAACACCTATCAAGTTCCTGGCTTGGACTAAAGCTCTGGAGTAGCCCAAAAGCTCCAAAATATGACAAAGGGGATGAGATTCCAGATGTCCAAGTAACAACACTCACCAGAAATCTCCTGCCTGCTCCTGTCACATTTTACAGCCTCATCAACCATCACCAGATCAGATGAGTTGGCTCTGCAGTCTCATGACTCCACTGGTATTATTATCTTGGGTGGGTTTATGTCTCTCTACAGGTCTCAGGTAGCAAAGGAGTTGGTCCTAAACTTCAGCAAGCATGGATGCAGCAAACCCATTCTCCCTTTACGTATAAATCGCTTCTGAACGAGGGCCAACAGTTCTAGTGAGATTAAAACTTGTCACTGCATTCCTGCCTGGCAAAGAAAAGAGGAATGTCATGTTTGAGACAGTCCTGGCTGACACATTTTGCTTTGGAAAGGATTCTGAGACTTCATTCACTTCATTTAAATATAAATAGGAAAAAAACCATCAAAGTTGTTCCTGAGTTGAGATTTGTTAAGCTTTCCCTGACAGAAAGGTAAAATAAAGCTTCTCCAAGCATAAGCAAGTAAAAAAAAAAAAAAATCCAGGCACATCAAGAGATGTCAAAGCAAATGTGACACTGCTATGTGAAAAAAAGGTTCCCACCTTCATCTAACTCCAAAATTATAAACCCAACTCTCTACTTTTTAAGTTCAAACAAGTTTTCTCACACACAGGTTAACGTGGAATCACTGAGTAACTGTCCTCCCCGCAACCAAAGGAACAGGAATTTCTCTTGTCCTTGAAAACCTCTGCAGAAACCGATTTTAGGGTAACAAAGGGTGCCTGGAAATTTGCTCAGGGGGAGTTTGTCTTCATCAGTTTTATTTGCTTTTCTCCCCAGAGTACTCAGCACACACTCAGTCATATGTTTAGGGCTGCCATGGTCTTCACCAAGGTGATGTGGTTGGTGGGGTCTGTCTCTGTCCTGTCATCTGCACAGTTGTTCTTCATGGCCAAGACCTTCTGCCGGTGCCTCTCCTCCTGCCGCTTCTTCTTCTCCAGCCTCTGCTGCTCCTTCTTCTGTTTTTTAGCTACCTGAAAGGGAAAGGTGAAAACACAAAGTTCAAACCACACTTCTTCTGCTAACACACTGGAAAGCAGACGAGCAGATATCAAGGCAGCACCCAGAGAACATTCCTAACTATTTATGAGGACTTCATTTCAGGCTGTTTTGGGAAGAGTGCCACAAGTCACTAGGAAATGTTTGTTATCAGAGAAGTCACAGCTGCAGCAATGATAAAATGCAGTGAGCAGAAACTCTTTTTGATTGGAAGAAAAGAGTTGCTGAGTAAGCCATCCCCTAATTCTTAAAGGGTGCTCACATCAAACCCCCCTCACACACCTGTGGGTTCCTGCTGGCTTGGTTCTCTCCACTGGATCCAGCCTGTCCTTTGTTGTTTCCTGTTTCACTTTGATGCAAGCTCTGATTTCCAAAGATTCTTGAACCGCTTCCATTCTCCTCCCACAGTGTTTTGCTGCAGGATTTCTGATCCCTGCTCTGGGGTTTCTGCTGCTCCTCGGTACCTACCAACAACAGGTTTTCCTCAGACACTCTACCCAGGAGCTGTCGCGCCGTCAGCCAACTCCTTCTTCCTGAATGTCTGGAGCAGTGGGTTTTTTTGGAAGCTGGATTGAGGCTGCCCTCACTAACAACCTTCCTGAGCACAGAAGGCTGAAGTGGGAGCACACAACAGCAAACCCCATCTGTCCTGCTGCTGTCCCCAGGGAACATGGACATCACATTCACCTGAAGCCTCAGGTGACAAACTCTGAGAACTCACTTGTTCCTTCTCCTTCCTTCACTCGTAAGATCGCAAATATTGCAGATTCTATGTTGTAATCCTCCGCTTCCAGGACGTGGCTTACTAAATCCATGTCCTGTCCACAAGAGAAGGAGAACACTGAAGGAGTTCAAATCTCTGACACACATTCACTTAACAACCACCTGCACCACAGAGAGGGGGCTCCTGCTTTTATGATTGTTCAATTAATGCTTCATTTATGAAAAAGGTGAGGGGGGAACCCTTAAATTCCTGGAGATATCAAGAAAAAGGAATATGCTCTTTCAGCATAATTGTTTCACTCTTGGCCCTTTCTGTTCTAAGCATTTGCACAGTAACAACAGCCAAGAGTCACAGATTATCCAGTTATGTGGGATATTCGACATCCTCAAATTATTTCAAATCTTACGGGATTTGTTTCCAAGTGAATTTTCTGACAGATTGCAAGACAAGCTTTCCAGAATTATTAGGTATCCACACAGAGTAGGTATTTCATCTGCATTTAAGGGTTGACTCTAGGATGAAATCTATCCTAGTTTAGGGCTGTGGTACTGAAATTGTTCAAGGTGAGCATTTTTTAGAATTTTTCCCAGGACAACTTTCATGTATCAACGACATTTGAACATTAAGCACAAAAAGGCTCCTCAGTACTTACTGAACACCCTGTTGCATTGCACACTTTTTGTACATCATTTTCCATTTCCGCTTCAGTCTCATCCTCAGAGTCACCCTTCTGTGGCTTCACTTCCTCTGTCTTATTTGCATTGTTTTTGCAAAGCATCTGAAGAAAAGCAAAGCCCAGCAGATAACACAGCATGCAAACAAAAAAAATATCTAATAAATGTAATTATTATTGAACACTTTTCTCAGAAGCAATGTGTGTCAAAGCATTTTGGAAATATCATAACTTCCATCATCACTGGAGGTTTCCCCTCTCTCCTGCACTACTCTCATGTACTGCACCACCATGAATGCCAATAAACAAGCTTATAAATGGACTAATTTTAATACGATACAATCATATACCTGTGTGCAGAGACCCTCAAGCACAGCACAAGATCAAAAAGTGACATATGAAGAGGACAACTGCATCCAGATGTTGCATTTCCAGCTCTTTCCTCCCTTCCTTTTGTTTTCCCGCTTGAGGTGCATGAATATGTAATTTAGATGTGGTTGCTTCCAGACAGCCCACACCACAGCATCAGGTTTGGGACTGATTTCCAGGCCAGAAGTTGGAATCCTTCACAGCCTTTCTCAGGAGAGCTGGTGGCAGGAGCTACAACGACCTCAGGGCTTTGCTAACCCAGCATGACACGGGGACTACACTCTTCCCCTCAATTCCAAGACAAATGAGAAAGGAAATCAACTGCCAACATTCATCAGCTTTATTTATCACCCACAGCTGGCTCAGGTAATTCTGTGACAACCAACCTCCATCTGAAGATATGCCGGAGCTTCTGAGTCATCGTTGATCCTCCTCACGCTGTCATAGTGCTCCCCGTAACGATAAGCAATGTGCAGCTCCCTCACATTGCTCTTGTCTGTGCCCCGGATCTACTCAAAAAAAATAAACTGCAAATGAGGATTTGGAATCAACCTCAGCATCAGATTTGTCCAAGTATTAATTTTCTTGGGCAGGAAGTGAGTACATCACTACCAAAGTTTTATAAACAGGAAGAGTTGACCTAGAAATTCAGCTGTGCTTCCAGTAACAACAGAGCTTCTGCCTCAAGGAGAAGGTTTGAAAGCCAGATACTTAACGTTGGTCAGTTGTATAACAAACAAAACGTGGGATGAAAATATTTCTGTGGAAAGCTCAGAACTATTTCCTAAACTTTCCACAGCAGCTATCAGTTTTACGACCATCTTCCCACATCCAACTTCAGCAATGCTCCTAGGGAATGTACAGTATCATTTTCCCCTGAAACATGAGGAAAGAGAGTCCATTCAAGTGATGACCACAGTGGAAACAGTTACCCAGAATAAGTTTTGAACTGCAGCTGGGAAAAGATGCTTTTTAACAGGATTCCAAGTGGATGTGTTTTGGTTTTAAAAGAAAGCCAATCCATAAAAATGTATTAACTCTACTCAGGAACACTGTTAACAATCAAATGTCCCTTTGCTTTGTCAGCACCAAGTACAGCAGTTTCCACAGTAAACTCCTGCTCTGATATTATCTGCACTGACAGCAAGAATAATTCCTACCCTGATCATCAAACTGTTAGCTAAGAGCTACCCAGCATTCCAGCTCCTGCCAGGAATGCAGAAAGTCCCACTGCACTTGCAAACCTCCTTGGCTTGACGTGTCAGCCCGAGTTCACAGGCCTGACAGCTCTCCTGGAGCAGACGTCAGTAAGCAAAGGACAAGAACTGCTTTGCTTTAGGGCTACAGAGTTTCTCAACCCTTTTACGTCTACGAATCGCCTTATCTCCACTCCCAGACCATGCACCAAGTCACCTTTCAACCCTGTCTGTGGTTTGTGCTGCACTCGTAACTTCAGGTTTCTCAACAATAATTCTTCATTCATCTATTTCACACTTACCTTTAGATTCCAACTCAACACTTGGTTCTATTAACTCCTGCTTTTTATCCTATTAGGTTATTCAACATGTTGGAATTCAGTAAGCTTTCTTTTCTTCTGTCAGTGCTTGAATAGGTATCTAACAAATCCCAAAGCTCTTGAAAGATTATTCTGAAAATTAGCCAATTTAGCTCTCATTAGAGAAGCTCTCTCCACTCTGGAGCAAGTCCAAAGGAGGCCACCAAGATAATCAGAAGGATGGAGCAGCTCTCCCATGAGGAAAGGCTGAGAGAGTTGGGATTGTTCAGCCTGGAGAAGAGAAGACTCCAGGGTGACCTAATTGTGGCCTCCCAGTACCTGAAGGAGCCAACAAATAAGATGGAGAGACTTTGGACAAGGCCTGAAGTGTCAGGACAAGGGAGAATGGCTTCAAACTGCCAGAGGGCAGGGTTAGATGGGATATTGGGAAGGAATTCCTCCCTGTGAGGGTGGTGAGGCCCTGGCACAGGTTGCCCAGAGAAGCTGTGGCTGCCCCATCCCTGGAAGTGTCCAAGGCCCAGATGGACAGGGCTTGGAGCAACCTGGCCTAGTGAAAGGTGTCTTTGCCCATGGCAGGGGGTTTAAGGTCCCTTCCAACCCAAAGCATTCTGTGGTTCTATGAATATGCTGGACTGTAAGTAAAAGCTGCAGCTCTAAATCATGCCCAGTTAACTACAGCTACTGCTCGGTTTTGACAGATCAGGAAGTTTTCACACCGTTTATATTCATCAGCGAAAAATGAGGCCAAAATGTAGAAATGTTTTTTCTCACCTGCCACAGTGGAGCATAGAGCTGATGAATAACCACATTGATTTGATTGTTCCTTGCAAAGGCCACAATAGCATCGTTGCCAGCAAAGGTCCCAGGCTTGGCCAAATTGGTAACTAAAGGAAAAAAACATTTAGAAGAGTTAGAAACCTGGTTTCTGACACTTCCAAAAGCACTGGAGGGATAACAAGTAGTGAAATTTCAACACGAGCACAAGAAATTCTGGAAAGGAAATCCCACCTGTGAAACAGTGAGTGTTCAAGACTTTGGCAGCAACAGAAGTTAATGCACTTAAATGACCACAGAAATCTCTAAAAAAAAGCAGCACACCCTTAGACTAAGCAAGGCCCCTGTCTCTGTTAGCTCAGAAGGAAGAGTGCCACGTACTAAGTGACCAAACCACTTCCATGCATCACCTGCATAGTACCTGGCACATCCTCAAAGCTGGTGGGACAAAGGCTGCATTCACCTCTGTTTTGGATCTTCCCCTGGATTCCCAGTATGAAACATTAAGTGCCAAGGAGAATGAAACCCAAAGAAATCAGTCACTTACCAAAACAGCCAAATACCCATGAGCATTCAAGGAGAACTAGACAATTTTTCTGAAGTTCCTTTTGCAAACACTAAATTTCTTTTACTCCTTCCTTTTTTGCCTCTCATTCCTTCTCCAAGTTTCTCCTAAATTTAAACAATTTCCAAGACAAATTTAATGCAAGTTTAACAGCTCATCTTTCTACAGCATTGACAGAGACAGAAATGCAAAGAATTTGTAAAAACCATAGAGGAGCCCTGACATAGTTCTGGGATGAGGAACTGGTGAGTAAGAAGGTGCTCCAAGGAGATGGAATCCCACTACACAATAAGCCCTCCCATGCGTGCCCTGTGGAGCCCATACCGTGTTTCTCAAAGGGCACATCATCCTCCAAAAATGGCTCAAAGTCCTCCCTCTGCTTCACCATGTAATCCACCGTTTCCTGCCGATGCCTCAGGTGGTTCCTGGAGTGCCCCTCAAGCTGGTCACCCAGGGCCCGAAACAAGCAGTTGCTGTCAAAAGAGAAACCACAAGTTGGCATGTCTGAGGCACAGCATTAAACAAACACCCGGTGCAAAAGGAATATGGTTTTAAAGGGAAAAGAGAGCTATGCCCAGTTTGTTTATCAAGGATATGAATATGAAACAGCACCTATTCTCTGTACTTGAATGGCTTCTGCTGCTGCAATGGCTGGTAAGAATATAAGATGAGTGATCACGTCATCAGAGGTGGTAAAAGTGCTAGGTGGGTGGGTGGGCCAAACTGTCTTAAACTGACACTGGGACAAGTGACATAATGCAACAAAGGGCAAACCAACGACCTGCTGAGCCATTTCTCAGCAGAAACATCTGATGATCCTTTCACCCAATCACTTATGGACCGTCCTATGCTCTGCACAGCTGGTCCATGGAGCCCATAGCTCTCCTGGGGAACAGGGCTGGGACTGGCAGGGCCCTCAGGTTCTACAGAAACATGGAGCAGAGCAGAGCCCCCTGATCCTTGTAGGGCTCAGTGGGGAAGTTCTCAACCCTGCAGAGCACTGCCCCCCCCATCCCCGCCGCAAATCAGGCGAAGAAGGCCCTCAGCGCCCGGGAGGACGCAGACTCCCCACCACTGGGGGGACGAAGCCCCAGCCCCCGGGGGTCACACGGTTCCCTCGGCCCCCGAGAACACAGACCCCCCACAACCGGGGAGGAGGAAGCCCTCTGCCTCCGGGGGCTGGAGCCCCGGGGAATCGCCGGCCCCGGGGCTGCCGGGGAGACCTATCGCGGCGCTCACCCATCGCCCGGCACCTCCCGCAGCTTGAGGCCGAGGGCCCGGAGCTGCCCGGCGAGGCCGCCGCCGCCCGGTGCAGGGCCCGGGGACGATCCGGCGAGGGGGCTGCGGGACCGCCGGCCCTTCCTGGCCCCGGCGGGCCGGGCCTTGGCCGCCTGTTTGCGGGACATCCCAGGCGGGGCGCCGGGAGCGGGCACGTGACCGCGACACCGGGGGAGGTCACGTGGTGGCGACATCGGGAGTCGCGTGACCACGGCACGCGGAGCAGGGCACGTGACCGCCCATCCCGGGGGATTCCTGCAGAAGGAGGAAGAGCAGAGGAGGGGTCCCTGGAGAGAAACTGGAGCTGGGAATCACAGGGTGGGAATTGCGAAGGGAAGGAGGGTGCAGCCAAGCCTCGGGAGCAGTGCATCCGCGGGGAAAGGCCGGGGAGGGCTGCGAGAAGCAGCACCGCGGATCACTGACACTGCGCCCGAGGCTGCCAGATTCCAGCTAATTAGCTTCTACTGCTAATTGCACTAATGCCTCTCCCTGCTGCCCAGCAGAGCTCCCGCCCCTCGCCGAGACGTCCCGCCGTGACCACACGGGTGGGCGCCTTCTGCCCCTGTTATAAGCCAGGATGAGCCGCTTCGGACTGTGTCTGTTCAACCTCAAATCACCGCTCCGAAGCGAACTAAGAGGAGATTAAGGGGGTGAGAGGATGGATTACCCACGAGATGGCACCAGGAGAACACGGCTGAGAGCAGCAGCAGGTCGGGAGAGCTAAGACTGCAACTATTAATTAGATGTGATAAAGCTCATAAACTGAACCTTCACGCCTTGTTTCCTCAGGCGCTGAGGGAAACTCCTCAGAGGGGGCTGGAGAAGGGGCACAGCAAGAACACTGGTGACTTGTCCAGAGTAGGGCTCTTGGGGAGGATTCCCTGCCATCCTTGACACCACAGCTCTTCCACTCGTCCCACAGCAAGTGGTTTAAGAAGTCACCCACCACCAGCACCCATCAAGGTTCTGCCCCACGATTCTAGTCTTCCTTGCCCTGCTTTTCTCTGCCAGTATCGCAACAGAAGGGGCCTGATATTGCCCAAGTCTAGAGGAGCCCACCAAGGTGGTCAGAGGAGCACTTCTCTCATGAGAAAAACTGGGAGAATTGGGATTGTTCAGCCTGGAGAAGAGTAGGCTCCGGGGTTTCCTAATTGTGGCCTTCCAGGACCTGAAGGAGCTGACAAGAAAGATCGAGAGAGACTGTTTACAAGGGCCTGGAGTGACGGGACAAGGGGGAATGGCTTCAGATTGACAGAGAGTAGGTTTAGGTTGGACATTAGGATCAAATTCTTCACTGTGAGGGTGGTGAGGGGGATGGAGTTCCCAGAGAAGCTGTGGCTGCCCCATCCCTGGAAGTGTCCAAGGCCAGGTTGGTTGGGGCTTGGAGCAACCTGGGCTAGTGGAAGGTGTCCCTGCCCAAGGCTCGAGGTGGAATGGGATGAGATTTAAGGTCCCTTCAAATCCAAACTATCCTGGGATTCTGTGATTCTATGAATTTCTGTCTAATTCCAAGCTCAGAAGGCACATCCAAATGGCTTTGTGATAAACACTAAGAAAACAGTCCTGGGGATACAGGAAGAGGCTTCACATCATGATGATTTTAAAGTTGTATATTATTTTTAAGTCCCTTTTCTCCAGAGTCACAACAACCTGACCCACAACTCAGCACAGGGAGAAGCTCACAGCAGTTATCACCAGTACCTTCTGGGATGTTTGGCCTACGGGCATGTGAGGATTTTACTCAGGAATAACACAACTGCTCTTTTATATCTATTTCCTGCCATAAACAATTCTGTACAAAGCATTTCATAGAAACATATTTTCGGGCAGATGGAGCTCGTCAGCCCTGTGAGGCAATCCATCTAAGAGAATGTCACTCTAAACAAACCTACGTTCTGAGACCCTCACTGCCACTGTCCGAGTTTCACTCGGCCCCTAAACAAACCTACGTTCTGAGACCCTCACTGCCACTGTCCGAGTTTCACTCGGCCCCGGCAGATGAACCTCAGGATTAAAGGGTGGGCTCAGTTCAGCGCACGCTGGGTCTCACCTAAAAAATCCACTGCGCAGGCTCGAAGGGTTAATGACCTTTCCCAAATCTTCGCTCGCGAAGACTGGCCATTATTTTCTTATGCAAACACACTGAAAGCAGGAAAACAGGATGAGTACATAAACTGACTGCAAATGATTAATGAGGCAGTAATTAGCCTGAGGAGCATTAAAGGGTTGTGGGCAATTCAGATAAGCACAAGGCACATGCCAGCCAGGGAGCATCACTCGTGACAGCGGGGATAAAGTGGAGCCAGAATCAGGGCTTGGCTGAAAGCTTTGCCAGTGCAGGACAACAAGAAACTATTTTTTCAGCACATCAGACAAAAGGCACAGACAAGTCACCCCCACCCATTAATAGGACACAGAGCAAACAGACATGGAGCATGGATTCATCCCACCTAGTTTTAAAATTTCTGATTTAGGAGCATAGGTGTCCCTCTTGCTGTCTGTTCGAGCTTCCAACCTCTGCAAGATGGTTTCATATTGTTTTAATAATTAAGAATCAGGAAATTTTAAGACATTTTCCTCTTCGGACATGGGAACTGACAGAGTAAATTTGAAGCTTCTAAAGCACTGTAATAATGGCAGGTCTGTCTTCCACTTTCCCAGATCTTTTTAACAGCACGGAATGTGAAATGCAATAGAAAATTATCCTATTTTTAAACATAAGTCTTGCAGTTCACCAGCCCACTTGCAGATGTTACTGCACTTTGAGTCCCACTTCTGCAGCTGAAAGATCTCCAGGCTCCTAAAATCCGGGGTCACCCAAAAGTCCATCAAGCACCACTACAGGTCATGTCAGCAGAAACACAAGCAGGAGTGCTCAGGCACTTTGACGAAGTTTGCTTACGACAGAGCTTCTATTTCTCAGCTAATAAGAACAAGCGCTTCTCACCTCATCCCCCCACCAGCAAGTTCAGGAGATTAGAGCCGTCCTGAACTCCTTGCCCTCCTCAACTGCAGTTGTTTCATTTCTTTCTGTTGCTCCTCTGTGGGAGAGAGGGGCTGGGACATGGTGGCACAGACAGTTTGAGCATTCAGGTGCACTTGAGGCTACTAGAGTGGTACTCCATGTCTTCTGCTGGTAAGACTGACCTAGTCCATCTTTTTGGGATTAGAGATCCTTCTTTTCCTTCCTTATTTCCTTTGCTCCATTCTGCCACAGGATTCTTGCTGAGAAAACACTTGGATTTTACCCCTCAAATAAAAAGGCAGAAAGAAATTAGAGACGGAGGGATTTTGCTTTTTTCATACAAGAAAAAAATTTGTCAGACAAGATGAACATTCACAAAACCACTCAGGAAGGGCACTCCTGAGTGCACGAGGTTGTCCTGTGAACGCCACGAGAAAGAAGATGGTCTCACCAAGACACTAACCTTGCTTTTAATTTCCAGATCTCTCTCATGGATCTCTGAGATCTTTTGTGGGCCTCGGTCATGCTTCAGTTTGCACTGGAAGGCCTCTGATGACTGAAACCAACTAGGATAAGAGACATTATCATGTCTTGATAATTATTGGATATTCATCACTCACATTAATAATCTCAATCTCATTCTTCTCTTGGTGCTGTAGGGTAGTCAGTATTGCTAAACCAAGAGCAAATTTCCTATCCAGAGCACTCAAAATTGGTGATACTTATGCTCTAATCAAAGCACTGCATTCAGCATACCAACGTCAGTAGTAGATAATTCCCCTAAATCTGTAACTGTCCAGCAAAGCACTGTTTAGAGACCAATGAAAATGCTTTCAACAAAGAAAGTTCTAATTTCTAATTTAATAATAACGGTAGTGCCTGGCTGTCACAGCTATGCTATGGAGTCTGCTTCCGGACAGGAATTGCCCAGTGATGTTATCAGTCATTGTAAACTGTCTTGGCTGGGAAGTTAATCATTAACTCAGGTCCCCATCTCATAAAAACATCATATTGTAAGAGCACGACTCACTTAAGGCTGTCACTAATCAATCCTGCATACAGCAGGAATACAGCAACACATAAAAGGAGCCAGAGACTAGCGAAATCCTTTAGCCAGGGGAAGACAAACTGCAGGGAGGTGTATCTCCATGGAGAAATCCACTGACAAGTCAAACAAGGAAGACGGATGTCTGGCTCTGCGAGTACTGCAGGCTGAGGAGGACGGTCCTGCGCCTGCGGCAGGAGATGCTGCAGAAATGAGCAGGGCAGGACCCCTAACACAGAATACAAATCAAGGGAAGAGACTGGGATTCACTGAAGAGTGTATTAAAGAAATGGAGAGGCCTTCAGGCACAGAGCAAGACAGTCATGCTGCCTTCAAAACAGCAATTTTGGAAAGAGACTGTCCACACTCAAAGCCTCTTGTTGTGCTAACAAACACAGACTGTCCCAAAACTTGCACATTGGAAATGAACCACCAGTGTTCAACATCCACATCCGTGGACTTGGATTGCCTGATCTGCTTCAACAGGTACAACATCTACAGAGTCCCAAAGCTCCTGGACTGCCAGCACGCCTTCTGTGCTGTCTGCCTCAAGCTTATTCTCAGGAAAGTGGAGAATACCTGGATCATCACCTGCCCTCTGTGCAGAAAACCCACTTTTGTGTCAGAAGGGCTCATCCGCACACTCCAGAATAAAGAAGACATCTTGGAGCACTTGGAAAACCTCGAGTCAGACCCAGAGGTGCACATCCCTGCCATGGGGCTGGACAGCAAGAGCTGGACTCAGAGCAGTCAAGACATTTTAAACATAGAGGAGAATGTTCCAGCAGACACCAGCCTGGCTGTGCAGAGACTTGTACTGCTCCTGCTGCTTGGGGTGATCCTCGCCATCCTCATCCTCCCCTTTATGTACTTGGGAAGGGTCAAATGGGTGATTTGTCTCCTGCTTACTCTGGGGTTGGTCATGTCCATGGTGCTTTGCTGCACTCCTAAATTCCACTGGAGGTGCAAAAGGGACTCGCCCACCTCCTGTGACAAGGAGACCCACGTCGTTACTGTTGCCTGAAACAATTAATTAACGAGGGTGTCCCGGAGGTAACAGACTGGCCCTGCCTGCAGAGCTGCAGGTTGGGCATGCCAGTGAATTATGGACTTAAAGACAATCATTCACAGAATAAATTCAGCAGCTTGGTAGGCTGGCTCAATGCCAAGGCACAGTCTTGTTAAATCTCATTACTGGAAACAAAACTATTTATATGTTGATATTTATGTGTTTTCAACAGGATTTTTATCCCAGGCTAAAAATCCTGTTGGTTTGCTTTTTCCACTGTTCTTGTTCGTGTCCTCTCCTGATTAGCCCTGCAGGATGTTATCTGGAACACCCGGGAGGTAATGTCCTGGAACAGCCTATGGTTGTGTTTTCCTGCTCTCTGAACACAAGTACACCTTTACTTGGGACAGAGTGGGGAAATAAGGCTGCTAAATCAGGGAGTGGGTTTGTGGAAGAGAGTAGCTTTAACTCAGATTACCACTTTAATCTCTGTCACTGCCCAAGGGTTGCTGGCAGGGATGGGAAAGGGACTGGGAAAAGGGGATGTCAGTTGATGCCATCTGAAGTTATACCCAAAATCGTGAGAGGAGGAGGCAAAACCAACACTCCTAACCTTGATCTGTGGCTTGCAAAGGGCAAAAAACCTTGCAATCCTCCCAATTCCCCACAGAAATAGTTCCTCTCACCTGAATTCCTTTATCTGGATCCCTGCACCACCTCTCTTCTTGCCCCCTCTTACATGAAATACCACGTTGCCCTTGGAGATGCTCACAGAGATAAACAGAAATCCATCAATTGCTGTGTCATACCACATGTGATGTTTTTATATGGATTGTCTCCATTAAATTCAAATAATATTAATTGCTAATTGATTTCTGTGTTTCAATTCCTCACTGACAATTAATGTCAAAACAATTCCCATTTTCCTCATTGACAGGAATTGTAGCTGAGAAAGCGTAGTAGGGAGTCTGCACAGCTGAGGTGGTGAGTAAAGCAAAGCAATAATGTGTCAGTTTGTTGCTTTATTTAAAAAAAATGTTTAGTTGCTAAGAAAATACCCTGAAACCCAACTAAAATTAAACTGGGAAAAAAATAGGAGATTTCTCTAGTTAAGCTGCATTTTTTAAAGTGCCATGGATCTCAGCAGACCTTGGATCAGGTAAATATTTGTGTTTGATAAGAATGGAAACTGATGTCCTGCAGTTGCTCGGTATATAAATATACATAGTGTCTCACAGCAGATAAAACAGATTAGACTAAGAGGGTAGGACCTCTTGTCCTCTTAAAGTCTTGGAAAACACAAGTCTGTTTTCTGCCTAAGGACATAAACCTCCGGGGGAAATAAATCTTTTGGGTTTTCTCATCTATTTGGACAGCAACAGGCTTATTGCAGAGTACATATGACATTTGCTAGTAACCAACCAGAAAAAAGCTTTTCCATTGGGAAAAGGCAGGTAGTTTTAAACCCACATACCATATTATTCCAAGTATAAAGACTGGATCAGATATTTAGCTACACTGAAAATAATTTCAGAAACCGTGGGCAAGTCTTTCAGCCCAGACTGTCCTCAAGATGACAAACTGCACTAGAACTATTAAATAATATAGATTAAAAATAAAATAATTTTAAAAAGGGGGAATTTTGCCTAAGAGGGGAGGAGGCCAAGCAAGATATCAAACAACACCAACTCCAGAAGGGTTTAAACATCACATCCAGGGTCAGTTTGCTACCATCAGTCAAAAAACGTAATGAATATTTTATCAGCAGTGTCCCTTGTCCTCTGTATCACTCACAAAGGATCTGGCCAGCCTATGTGTGTCAGCAGCACGTGGGTGTGAAGAAATGAAACCAGAGAATGAATATGATCAGTAAAATCTGTTTCTTACGTTTCACTCTGCCCTTCTGAAAGGGTGTGTTCAGTTTTATTACACTAATTTCTACAGAGCCAAAAGAAAAGTCAAACAGGAAAGGGCTTCCCTCAAGGCAGTGTACAGCAGTGGGAAGGCAGCATGGATGCTCTGTGATTTCCAGGGAGAGGCTGGCCCTCTGAAAGAATTCCTATGGATCCACACAGTTAGAGATCAACACCTTCCAAGCCTTTTTTCAGCAGTTCAACTGCAATGTTTATGGAGAAAAGGCCAATGGAATTATACTCCTATTCCAAAACGTAAACTATTTGCTTGTACTCAGGTTTAAGTCATGGTGGTCTTTTTGTCAAGGAAGGTTCAGCTCCAAGTTCCCTTGCCCTCCTTACCTTACCTAGCTGGCTCCAAATTTCAGATAGTAACTAGGTAACATAATCTAGCCTGAAAGAATCATAATGAGAAATGGGCCCAGGCAGCATCCCCTCAGCCCCCGCCACACCCCAGTCCCTCACCATCACCTCAGCCCCCTCTATGTCCTCACCCCCTCCATCCCCTCGGCCCCCTGCATCCCCTCATCCCCCTGCATCCCCTCGGCCCCCTGCATCCCCTCATCCCCCTGCATCCCCTCGGCCCCCTGCACCCTTCATCCCCCTGCATCCCCTCGGCCCCCTCCATCCCGTCATCCCAGCGCAGTTCCCTCTACACTACGCACCCCTTTACGCCGATGGCGCAGAGGCGGCGGGAAGGGCGGGCCGGGCCGGGCCGGGCAGGAAGGGGCGGGCGGCGGCAGCGGCCGGAACGCGGTGGCGGGTTCTCGGTGCTTCGTTCTCGGGCCGGCGGCAGGTCGGGGCCGGGCCGGGGAGGTGAAGAGGGGCCGGGTACAGCGCCGCGGGCTGAGGGGGCGAGCGGGCGGGACCTTCCCCTCAGGCCACCCTACTCTGTGCGCTGCTTTCCCCTCCTCTGCCGTGGCCTGAAGTGCTGCTTGCTTTCTAAAAATGTGCCCGCGTTCTCTCAACACAGGTTTCAGACACGAGGACTGGCGGCTGTGGATGTGTCTGCCCTCACAGCTTTCCCAGCTGAGGTGGTTCCCTCACACTCTTTCCTCTGCTGTTCCCTCTCTGCAGCTTTGCCCACTTCGGTGTGAGGACATTGCTTCTCCGTCGCTGCTGTGCAAACCTCTGGATTAACCGAATTAAACACGCTTAGTTCTGCAACTACTTAAGCTTTTGGCTTTTCCAAGTCCCCCATCACCTCTGCCCCCGATCTTTGTGGCCATCCGTATCGCATTCGTGTCATTGCATTGAGACAGGACTGAATTAACTGTATTCTGTGTTCATACCTCAGATCTATGGATTAAAAGCAGAGGCCATGGTGCTCCCACTGTGTCAGCTCTGGAGCCCTGTGCTAGTCCCCAAAAAACCTCATCTGCCGAAATGTTTCCACAGTCACAGCATTGTGTGCGATGTGTAACCACAGTTGGGCTGTGCTGTCCCCCAGCGTACCTCATATAGGACTTTTTGGACAGCCTCGTCTGAATAATTATCTACAACTACCTCTCTGAAGTTAATGAGATGCCTCATTAACTTTTGAGGGTGTTGGAGGTGATCATGCCAGTGCTTTGGTCACTGTTGTCGTAGTTTAGGACGAACACAATGCCACCATCTCTCTGTTTCTTCTTCCAGCACTAGAAAACACGTGTATTGTACAGCTTTAGATCCCCAAAAGAATTATCTTTCTGCTTTCCAAACAGGATTGTATGAGCTGCTGTTTAAAATATGTTTTTTTCTCAAGAAGACAAAGGGTTTTGTGTGAAAAGTGAATGCTGGAAGTGATAACAAAATTCTCTTTCAAGTGACAGTTCAGATTATGGCAATGCTGTTGATTGCTAAATTCCCTTGTTCAAGGCAGGGATGTGAATTCCAGTGCCATGAGCCGTAAATAACTTTTGGGATATGTTTCTACCTCTCAATTGCCTTATCTTGGACTAGTGGCAAAACTTCTTGGCCCACATTTTCATTAGTAAATCGCATGTTGCCCTTCTTTTTACGCTGCATGTCTGAAAATCCAAGCCCATTTTTTTCCTAGGTAATTATGAGGAAATAGATACCTGTGTTGAGAGAAACACATTGAGGGTACTGATCTGAGCATCTTCAGAGCAATGTCTTCCAGAAGCTTTCTCTGGGTATTTTAGATGCTCATTACTGATTTATTTGTTACATGTCAGAAGCCACTGTTGCCATTACTGCTCCATGTTTTATGTTATTATTGGGGAATTAGGTTAAACAGTTGTACTGCTCATGGATCCTTTTTAGCTGCTTCATTTCTTGTATGAACCTGAGTTAAGAAGTCAATAAATGTCTTAGGGAAGAGGATTTTATTTTCAATGCTCTTTCCCATAACGTGTCCAGAGGTGAGCAGACATGCCAAGTAGTTTTAAAATTACTGGGATTTTAGCATTGAATTATTCCTGGGAAAATTGGTCTGAAAGTTTGGATGTTTTAGGAAGATCAGAGCCTAGTGAGAGATGAATTTCCAGGGTCCAATAGAGGAGCGTTTGGAGCTCCTGTGGTAATAGAACAATCTTGGGATAAACAAGTCCTGGAAAGCTGAAGGTATTTTCACAGCTGGGGTTCAGTGAGTGTCCACACTGGTGTGTGGTGTGGTTGGTACTGGAGTGGGTGTGGCAGGCCGGGATTGATCCCAGGCCCCTGCTTTCCCCAGGGAAGTATAACCTGGCCCTTCCTTTCTCTGGTTGATTTGGAAATAGCAGTTAGTTTATTCCTGTGAATTTTGTGCTAGAATGTGATGTTTTCATGGAAACACATGGAAATGCCCTAGCCCCGTGTGCTGGAGCCAGAGGCAGCACCAGGAGTGTGTGTTGGGCTGAGCTCTCCCAGGGAAAGAGGTGTGAGTTACAATAACCATCGGCCCTTCAGTGATGAGTTTTTCTTGCATTTACACAGCAGCAGTTAAACTGTGCAAGCCTTGAGAAATACAAATCACCTCCAATAAATTTCTGAGCTGGAGTGCAGGACAGACACCTTTCCTGGAGGACCATGACAGATGGCACGCAGATAATAAAATCTCTTTAAAAAGAGCTGCTCCTGTTGCATTTCTGACTTTTAGGACTCTAAATCTATCCATAAATGGTGTCTGCATCCTCTGAGAGTAGGCTGTAGTATCGTAGGCTCCTCATTCCTATTTAGTCAGGATGTGGAAGAAAGGAAGCATTTAAATATGAAGTATATAATGAAATAGGTGATATGGTCCCCTTAGAAACCAATTGAAATCAGTAAAAATTTCAAGTGATGGAAGTGATCTTTGGAGCAGGTTGTTACCCAGGTTGAGTTGTGAAATGAGCTGTTGTCACCTTTGTCTGAGGTAAGTCATCTCAGCTGCTGGTACCATTAGAGGAACACTAGAAGCCCTTCGGTTGGAAATGTGCACATCTACACTCTAAAACAATAATATTTTGGCCCAGCTCAAGGTCCGTGTGGTGCAGGGACCTTATTTTTAGGGGAAAAGCAGTGACAGGTTGAATAGAGGAGAGAATGTTACAAGCAAAGCACAGCAATGTCCATGGGACACATTAAAGGCCTTCTCAGGGGCTGCAGCTGAACTCAACTTTCCTAATGCCGTCAGCAAAACAAACAGAGGAACAATTTGGGCTGAGATGAGAGAGGCAAATTATTTCCCAGGCAGCTGTACTGGTCCCTGCACAAGATGCAGAGCTTTTACTTTCATGTTATTTTTGTACTAAATGTGTGAATTGTATGCCTGAATGGAGCCCAGTCTCTTTGCATCTTGAAGGGAACTTCTCCTTTTGCTGTGTGAAGTATTGGCAGCTCATTTTGTGCGAAACTTTTGAGAACTGGTGAACAGAAAGTGTCCTCTTGTCTTCTTTGGTCACAGCAGTGTGTTGGGGGGCGGGGGGGATATACAAGATGGACCTGGACAAACTTGATTTAATACTGACAGCAAGTGTGACAGTGAAAAAAACAAAGGCAATTTGTCTTTTTGCTCTCTGGTTTCCAACTGTTTGTTGTTGGATTTTTTCTACAGCTGTTTCCTCTTTGACCTTGCAGGTGAAAATGGCTGCAGAAGAGAAGTGGAAAGGTTGGATTTCAAAACAGCATAAGGAGGCTGAGCAGGCAGGGGAGAAGGAGCCATGTGTGCTCCTGGGTCAGCAGCTGGGAGAGCTGGGAAGATTTGCCTATGCAGCACTTTGTGGTGTATCTCTTGCCTGGCTGTTCCCTGAAAACGAGCAAAGGTACTGCATGTGGGAGCAAGGAGTGGGCAGGGGAGGTGAATTTTGGGTGGCGGCTCAAACAGAGCTGGTATCAGACTCTATGGGGAGTCTTCTAAAGTTTGGGGAGTGGAAGATCTTTTCTCTCTTACTTCTGTAAGACTTTTATAATTCAGCACACATCGCATCCTTTAACATCAAAGCATGTACTGAAATAAGGTCTGGCCCCATTCAGATTGTTTCCTTGTTTGTTTAGCAATTCACCTTCTGCCGACTCCTTCTGATGCTTTGATTTTTGTGTGAACAGTAGCAGACCAAAGTTTGAAACCAGGGACTGCTCAAAGCTTCCAAAAATACCCAGTTGTAGAGCCTTGAAATACCCAGTTGTGAAGCTTTAGCTGCTCCTGTTGCTTTTACAGCTCCTTCAGGACAGAATTTATTGAGGGCTTTGTGAAATGGCTGGACCTGCCCGACGCTGTCCTACCTGCCATGACAGCCTTTGCTGGTGGCTTAGGAGGTGAGGGCACAGAATCTTTCACTGAGATTTTGCTGAAGGACCCCATCTTGGAAGAAAATCCAGCTGTCATTACCCAGGTACGTCTATGTGTTCTCCTTGCTCTTGTTTGCTTTGCAAAAGAGATTTATCATAGGTGTCTGTTTGCAGCTGAAGTGCTGTTTGTGCAGACAGGGGAGTAAAATCAGTATTTCTGATAGGCATCTGTTTCTGAGTGGCTGTAGGGGGGGACTGTCAGTCTCTCTATCCATAAAGAGCTCATGGAAGTATTAAACACAAGGCAAGGTCACTCTCTGCTCATTAATGTTTTGTGTCTTTGATGGTTTCACTCTACAGAGCAGAGAACTGACAAACTTTTTGACTATTATTGCAGTGGTTTTGATTCATATGTGCTTTCTACAGGTTTTAGTGGCACACTGAACATGATAAACCTGATTTTTACTTGTTTAAAAGCCCTTTCGCCATACCTTGGAGAATGCAAAAAACATTCTCCAAGGAGCACAATTTCCAGAGGAAGCTTTGACCAGAAGGAATTATTGTGACTTTATTTTTTCTCACTGAGAGAGTGAGACTGGGAGTGCTCCATAATGTTCTGCTGTAAAAGCTAATGTAAAGATAAAAGAGGTGAAGCATTTGGGCAGCGTTCACTTGCTGGGGAAGATCTCTCCTGATCCAGCCTCACGTTGTGCTGTGCAGGGTGAGGAGGGCACAAGGCTGCTGCTGGTGCCACACAGGACATGGACACTGTCACCTGGCACCCTGTGCTGTGTCACCCTGTGCCAGACACCCTGCGTGCTGTGCTCTGGTATTGATTGGATAATAGTTATCACACACTCTCCATGAGCAACGGCCCGACAGAACCACGGATGTGAGAAGAGGGCTGAGTGAGGGAAGATATGATTGCAGTGAACTTTCTTGGTCACCATGACCAGCTACCACTACCTTGGCATCTTTCCTGTTTCCTAGTCAGTCCATGAAATGCCTCAGAGTGTTGGAAACTATATAACTTTCCTAATTAATTTTTCTAATTAATGGTTTTAATTAACTTCTTAATTAAC